CCAAATATTTGATTTGATTTGGATTTCCCTTCCCTTTCCCATCTGCCTAAAACGTTTGCACAGTACTGTATATCTTAACCCTTTTTTGAATATTTCTACCACATTTGCTTTTCTCCAATCAGCTGGTACCAAATTAGGAATAATAGTCTGACTATAACCTGGTTAAACTCTTTAATAATATATGTGTAAGCAAACATATATTATTATTAACATTATGGTCTTTTTTATTACTGCCCTCTTTTTTATTCATATAAACCAAGAATAATGCATTTAAAGTAATTCACACAGGACTTTTGGCTTCTGGTACTGTCAATCAAATGCAGGGAGGAGGAAGTGGGGGGGAGGGGCTAAGTCCTGCTGTGTAAGTCTATGGAGAGTGGCTCCACAGACACACAGCTCAGGAGCGAGCAGACACAGTGTGCCTTTATAGCAAACACTTGCTTTGGGGACACACAAAGAACAGGAGGAGCCAAGATCGCTGGCAGGGGACCCAAGAAGAAGGATCAGGGCCGCACTTTGCAGTACAATTTCACAGAGCAGGTAGGTTTCACATTTGGTTTGTCACATTTGAACTAAAAACAAAAAGTAGCCCTCAGTAACACGTTAATACAGTTTCCTTCTCCCTGTCATTTGGGGCCCAGTTGGACCTTGCTATGGGGGCAGTAGGACCCCAGAAGATGAGGTTTCGGGCCAATTCGTGCAATACCATTGCACATAGCAGGTATGCATAACATGTTTGTTACTTTATTTTTAAAAAAACAGCTTTACAATCACTTCATGTACTAAAAGAAAGCCAAAGCTATCCTCAGGAAAACAGTGCAATTTGTTTATATATAAAGTTCTTATGAATTGAATACATATTGCAAAATGAAAACATTTCTGGCATTCATTAAGGGGGTTAAACCACAGGGCAGAAAGGCCTTCTTTTAGAAATCTCAGGTTCTATGTGCAGACAGAACCATTATGATTAGACGTTGCTTGTCAAAGCACAGGCTGACAGCAGTCTCTGGGTTAGCACAACAGAGAACACTATGTGCGCTGGAGACACAAGGAAACAGGTAGATGGTACAGCAGCAGATTGATATTGTCACTAAATTAGTAGCCAGTAAATATACTGTGAAAACAGACTACTTTAAATTAGAAGCAACTGCATGATGGCACTCATGTTGGTAGTACATACGTGACAAATGCTTACAATGTTTCTATGTTTATGTAAAGTTGTATGTGCTTATGATCTCCTCATATATTGTATACAAAGTATTGCATTCTTTATAACTCCCGGTTGAAATGTTACTCATTTTTCACATTTCTTTTGGGCACTTTAGAGTGGTTGTAAAGGCTCAAGATTTGTTTTTGCTTTATGCATTCTATGCATGTAGGTAAAAAAAAACCTTTTCTGTGCAGCAGCTCCCACAGCCCCCCTAATACTCAACTTAGTCCCTTCTCAATCCAGTGATGTGCACTGGAGTCTCGGAAATCACGGGACTCCTTCTCCCCATTGGCTAAGACAGAATTTGCTCCCACTGGTGTCAATCACAGCTTGTGAGCCAATGAAAAGAGAGGGGGCGAGGCCAAGCCGAGGCTCTGTGTGTGAATGGACACATGGAGCAGCGTGTGCACCCATAGCAAGCTGCTTGCTGTGGGGGCACCTGACAGGAGGAAGGGGCCAGGAGTGCCGACGGGGGACCCGACAACAGGAGGGTCTAGGCTGCTCTGTGCAAATCCAATACACACAGCAGGTAAGTATTAAGTGCTTGGCACAATTTTTTTTCACGGAAGCAGGTACCTGGTTTCAGCCTCCCTCCTTCCCCCTGCAACCTTCTGGGACAAGTCACAGGCCCCAGAAAGCTGCAGAGCATTCAGTAAGCGCAGCATGGCTTGCGCATGCGTAGTGAGCAGCTGGCTGCCCACAGTATGCTGGCGTAGGATTTCTACGAAGAAGCCAGCTGGGTGAGAACAGCACTGGATCCTCGGACAAGTGAGTGTCTGTTTATTAAAAAGTCAGCAGCTACACTTTTTGTAACTGCTGTTTAATTTTTCAAAAGATAACTGAAAAACCGCTTTAAGTATAGAATGTAGGGCATTTTACTGATATATAATGTAACCCAATTTCCAAAATAGTTGGGATGCTGTGTAAAATCTATATAAAAAAACAGAATGCAATGATTTGTAAATCTCAAAAATCTGTATTTTATTCATAATAGAATACATATCAAATGTTTAAACTGAGAAAATGTACCATGTAAAAAAGAAGTTAATTTTAAAATTGATGGCAGCAACACATCTGAAAAAGTTGGCAGCAAAAAGCTGGCAAAGTGGCACTAACAAGGAAAAGCTGGAAGAACATTTTGCAAATAATTGGGTTACCTGCCAATCGATCAGTAACATGACTGGGTATAAAAAGGGCATCTTAGAGAGTCAGAGTGTCTCAGAAGTAAAGATGGGCTGCATCTAAAAATCAAACAATTTCTATAATAATGTTTCTCAATATAAAATTTCAAGAACTTTAAATATATCATCATCTACAGTACATGATATCATCAAAAAATTCTGACAATCTGGAGAAATAAATCTTTGTGGCAAAGGACAAGGTTGAAACACAATACTGGATGCCTGTGATCTTTAGGCCCTCAGACAGCACTGCATTAAAAATTAAAAACAGGAATGATTCTGTGATGGACATCACTGCATGGGCTCAGGAATACTTCCAAAAATAAATGTCTGTGAACACAATTCACCATGCTATCCAAAAATGTACAGTAAAGCTCGATCATGCAAAGAGAAAGCCACATCTGAACATAATCCATTTTATCTGGGCCAAAGCTTATTTAAAATGGTCTGTTCTAAAGTGGAAAACTGTTGTGTGGCAACCAAGGATGATGCATCCTCCAGACTAAAGAGGAGAAGGACCTTCCAGCTTGCTATCAGCGCTCAGTTCAAAACCCGCATGTTCTGGGGGGCGCATAAATGTTTATGGAATGGCCAGCTTGCACATCTGGAAAGGCACCATCAATGCTGAAAGATATATACAGGTTTAAGAGCAGCAAATGCTCCCATCAAGACAATGTATTTTTTCATGGAAGGTCTTGAATACCGTATTTGCCGGCGTATAAGACGACTTTTTGACCCTTGAAAATCTTCTCAAAAGTCGGGGGTCGTCTTATACGCCGGTAACACATGTTTAGGGGGGCTGTGGCATTAAGTACAGGGGTTTGCAGGCGCTGATGTCTCTTACCTGGATCCAGTCCCACGACGATCCGGTCCAGGAAGCGCGGCGTCTCCTTCAGTTCGGTCACTGGATGTTCGTGCGGCTGCTCGGCTCCGCCTCCTCACCGGTGATTGGCCGCCAGAACTGTAGCTCAGGAAAGGCACACAGGCGGCCAATCACCGGCGAGGGGGCGGAGCCGAGCGGCCCCCGCGAAAATTGAGTGCCGGAGCAGCAGGTAAGTGTTCTGTGTAGAGGTGCTGCTGCAACCACATATGCTGGCTGCAGCAGCACCATACGAGAACAGGGTCAGCAAGTCTCAGTGGGAGGAATAGTGCCCCATCATTGGTGTCACTGATACCAATGATGGGGCACTATTCCTCCCACTGACACCAACGATGGGGCACTATTCCTCCCCCCCACTGACACCAATGATGGGGCACTATTCCCCCCCCCCCACTGACACCAACGATGGGGCACTATTCCACCCCCCACTGACACCAATGATGGGGCACTATTCCACCCCTCACTGACACCAATGATGGGACACCATTCCTCCCACTGACATCAATGATGGGGCACTATTCCTCCCACTGACACCAATGATGGGGCACTATTCCTGCCACTGATACCAATGATGGGGCACTATTCCTCCCACTGATACCAATGATGGGGCACTATTCCTCCCACTGATACCAATGATGGGGCACTATTCCTGCCACTGATACCAATGATGGGGCACTATTCCTCCCACTGACACCAATGATGGGGCACTGTTCCTCCCACTGACACCAATGATGGAGCACTATTCCTCCACTGATACTAATGATAGGGCACTATTCCTGCCACTAATGCCAATGATGGGACACTATTCCTCCCACTGATACCAATGATGGGGCACTATTCCTCCCACTGACACCAATGATGGAGCACTATTCCTCCACTGATACTAATGATAGGGCACTATTCCTGCCACTAATGCCAATGATGGGACACTATTCCTCCCACTGATACCAATGATGGGGCACTATTCCTCCCACTGACACCAATGATGGAGCACTATTCCTCCCACTGACATCAATGATGGGGCACTATTCCTCCCACTGGTGTGCATTGGAAGAGGGGTAGTCTTATACGGCGAGTATAGCCCAAACACTACATTTTAGCAGGAAAAGTAGGGGGGTTGTCTTATACGCCCAGTCGTCTTATACGCCGGCAAATACGGTATTTTAGTAGGACAATGCTAAATTGCATACTGCATCTATGACAACAGCATAGCTTTCTAGCAGAAGAGTCCAAGTGCATAACTGGAATGCATAACAGTCCAGACCTTTCACCAACTGAAACTATTTGGTATATCATGAAATGAATAATACAACAAAGATGACCCAAGGCAGCTGAGCAGCTAGAATCTTATATCAGGCGAGCATGGGACAACATTCCTCTCCCAAACCTCCACGGACTGGTCCTCTCAGTTTCCAGACATTTTTACAGTGTTGTTAAAAAAAAACAAGGAGTGCTACGCCGTGATAAACACTGGCCCTGTTCCAACTTTTTTGAGACCTATTGCTGCCATCAATGTCAAAATTACCTTACTTTTTATCTTAAAATGATAGTTTCTCAGTTTAAACATTTGATAGGTTTTCTAATTTCTATTGTGAATAAAATATGGGTTTATGAGATTTTCAAATCACTGTATTGTTTTTATATAGATTTTACACAGTATCTAAACTTTTTTGGAATCAGGGTTGTAAAATCAACCAGAGAACACAACAAGAATCCTGACAACTCTGAGTTATTTTATTTCTCCAAATATAAATTGAAACTTTTCCTTATCCATAACCTGGCCGTAGTGTTTGGTTATGTACAAAACATCTGGACTGCTGTATCTTCTGATCTGAAGGAAAACTTCCCCTTTTATGTCTCCAGTTTCTGACAGCACTTTCACATCTTCAACAGGTAAAAAAATATCTTTTCTTTTACCCCAAAATGTCAAGTGAGAAATCTTCAGAGTTGTTGCTTCTTGGTTTACATAAATCATCCCTATAATTCTCTGTAAATAATACGTAATGCTATACAGCATAACTCCAGCAAACACAGTTAATCCAGTGAAATAATAAAAAACTAACTCTGAAACTTGCCCTTGCAAATAGTAATAATAAACAGGTGGAAGGGCTGTAAAAGTCAACATTGTCTGCAGAATCTTCAGTCTGGACACAGCCTTGCACATGCGTATTCCAGGAAACTTGTAGATCACATGAAATTTCTTCTCATCAGTCGTGGTGTCAGAAGCAGATGAACAGAATGTATTTTGGCTTTGTACCTGTGGATGCCTGACTTTAACAGACAAATGTGAAAATACATTTCCATGTATAGCTTGAGGAGTTTCTCTACATCCAATGAGGCTGGCACTCCTATGCAATCTTGATCTCCATGTCCATAACAGTATCTGTTGATTAATTGGTCTGAACCTCATAGAAAATCCATAAAGTAGTGCCATGTTTATGGATCCTGCTAAAGAGAAATAAATGTTTTTAAAGCCGTAAAACTGAAATCCTTCCTTCTTTTTCTTGTATAATGTCCAAGACATCAAAACACACATTTTGTTACCAGATTCATTCCAAATGTTTAAAAAAAAAAAAAAAAAAACATTTTTTGGATTACAAATTGGCATCTAGCTTTAGACCTCTCCATCTAGTGTCAGAGATTGCTTCATGTACACCTTTCATAGAATCATGTTATCACGTACCATGATGTGATGAGAAGCCTAGCCTCTGCTTTGTAAGTTTATATCTGTGAACTGAGTATTCAAGTGAAATCATAATATATTCAATAGTAAATCAATGCATAAAAGACAAAATACCATTTACATTAACCGCTTCCCGACTGACCTATAGCAGAAATACTGCTACAAGGCGGCACGGGGTGCGCAAAATCACGTATATATACGTGATGTCGCAATTCCGGATAGGGGACACCAGCGAGTCACGCATGCACCCCACCCTCGCCACCATTCGCAGTCGTCAATCACCAGGTCCCGGCTGGTAATTACCCGATGGCCCCCGGTGATTTCCAAAGATCTCCGACAGGGGGAGACCTGTTTTGTTTACTAACAGTTCTCCTCCCTGTCAGCTCGGGCACACGGCTCTGGATGGCGGTGCACAGCACAGCCATCCGAAGCAGTGTAATTACAGTGAAGCACACAGACACCGCCCCCTAGTAAAACACTCCCTGCACGCAGCTAACCCTTTGATCGCCCCCTCTTGTTAACCCGTTCCTGCCCAGTGCCATTAGTACAGTGTCAGTGCTTTTCACTGCATTGGTTGCACTGGGGATGTCAATGATACCAAGTCAGTTCCCCCCAGTGTCAGAATGTCCGCCGCAGTCCTGCTATAAGTCGCTGATCGCCACCACTACTAGTAAAAAAAAAAAATCCCAGTATATATACCGCCATTTGTAAACGCTATAACTTTCACGTAAACCAATTCATTTACATGTATTGGGATTTTTTTTTTAGCAAAGACATGTCGTAGAATACATATTGGTGTAAATTTATGACAAAATTAGATTTTTTAAATTTTTTTACTGGATGTGTTTAATAGCAAAAAGTCAAAATATTGTTTTTTTTTTTTCTTTTTTGTCTTTTTTTTATAGCGCAAAAAATGTAAACCACACAGGCAATCAAAAAAGCAAAATTTTTGGAAAAAAAAAAAAAAAAAAAGGACGTACATTTAATTTGGGTGCAGCGTTGCATGACCGCGCAATGGTCAGTTAAAGCAGCACCGTAACACAAAAAATGGCCTGGTCAGGAAAGGGGGTAAATCCTGAGGAGGGCAAGTGGTTAAAAGGGATTGAAGCCTTAAAGTGGAATATGAAAACAATGTTTGGACCTTTGAACTGTAAACATAAATTACCCTAATAAAGTTTGTGGCTACTACTAATTAAAGGCTGGTTAAGGGATGTGTTCGTGATGCATTTCTGCATGTGTGTTTTTGATGCATTCCGATGCATTTTTTCACTTTTTTGTTTTTTTATACCGCGTTTCAGTACAGTTTAGTGCAGAAAAAAATGCAATGTGTTCTACTTTTTTTCTGCAACTGGAATGCTCTGGAAGTGACTGCACTGGTGTGAACTATGCCATTGGAAACCTCATAACCTACTATCCATACGGTGTGAACCGGCCTACTTACATTAAGCTTGTACAGTAACTGCTGAATTTCTGGGGCTGAAACTTACAGATCTGGCTGAAGTACACAAATTATAGCGGGTTGCTTATTCCACATCTATTCTGTACAGAACATGCACAGGTGTATTGTCATTAGAGGAAGGGAGTTTGTGATATTCATCTGCACCTCCTCATAGAATTCAACAGGTGTTGGAGCTGCATTGCTTTAGTGCAGTGGTCGGCAAGCCGCGGCTCGCGAGCCACATGTGGCTCTTTACACACTCTAATGCGGTTCTTCTGTGTGCCGGGCGCCCGCTCCCCTCCCTCCTCTCGGGCGGCCGCCTCAAAAGTCAGGACTCTGCAGCTAACCCAGCAATGGGCAAACTACGGCCCGCGGGCCGTATAAGGCCCGGCGGACCTTTTAATCCGGCCCACGGAGCGTGGCAAACATTGGCTGTCAGGATGTAGGCGGGGCAGCGTGACGAACTCCTCTCCTCTCACAGTCCGCCCTGAAGACCAGAACGGCGCGGGAACACGGCGAGAGGAACGCACGGAGCAAAGGTAAGTGAATTGACACAATATGGGGAATGAATTACTATAGGGGGGGATGAATTACTATAGGGGGGGGATGAATTACTATATGGGGGATGAATTACTATGGGGGATGTATTTTCAGTTTTAAAAATGTGGCTCTCAAAATAAATTTCAAACATGGTTTTGGCGCGATTTGGCTCAGTTGATAAAAAAGGTTGCCCACCACTGCTTTAGTGCATCAGGGTGACATTCAAAATGAACTGCACTGCAGTACACTAAAGCATTGAATGGAGTTCTTTTGGCTTGGGAAGATATATTGGTTTTGGGGTCAGTTCTTCTCCAGGCTCATTTAACCATTTCCTGTCTACATGCACTTGCTTCAGCATTGCACAGACAGCATTGCTTTGGACCAGCTTCCTGAAAACAACTATGGATCATACATGCGCAATCCGTGTTGGCATAGCTGCTTGTTTAGCACTTAATTCCTCCTATTTTCGGTCTGATGCATAGATCTCTGTAAAAAATACTATTTAACAAACAAAAATGTCATATTACACTAAACCTTTATTTGACGTCTGAACATTTGCATCTATTTTGAGAAGCCAGTAAAAAAGAAAAAATAGTGGTGAAAAAAAAAAAAAAAAATGGGTTTTATAAAATCGTTTTTTTTGATTTGTCCAGGGACATGAAGGTGCTGATAGCTTGGCAACCCCAGAGGTAAGTACAGCAAGCCTGCATGCAGATCTCCTCCGGTCCCCCTAAATACTTACCTGAGCCCTATCTTGATCCTGCGATGTGCAATAGTCATTGGCTCCCACTGCTTTCAATCACAGCCAGTAAGGAAGGAGCGAGGCGGGCCAAGCCCTGTTCTGTTTGTCTTATGAACACACGGAGCAGGGCTCGGGATTGAGCATGCATGAGTGCCTCCATAGCAAGTGTCTAGCTATGAAGGAAACGTTGGTGGGGGACCCAAGAAGTTGAGGATCCTGGCTGCTCTGTGCAAAACCATTACACAGGTAAGTATAACATGTTACATAGTCAGTCTGGCTGAAAAAAGACAAAAGTCCATCCAGTTCAACCTCCCCTCCCCCCCCCAGCAGTTCAATGTTACTATGGTAACGTTGCAGAACTCTGATGAAAGTAAAAAAAAAAGAAAAATGTTTAAACAAAAAGTTTGAATCTTTTCCCAACTACTTGCCACCCGCCCACCAACAATGTGTGGGCAAGCAGCGGCTCTGGGCAAAGCCACATAATCTTATGTCACTTTTTATTTCTGGGTGTGTGTACGCCCCCCCGGCTGCCCACTAGGCCATCTAGGGAGAGAAGAATGAATATGGCACTGAGTAAAAGCACTACATTTTACACGCACGTTAGAGTAACATGTTTAACACTTTGATCACCCCTATAATCCTTAGATCACCTAGTCACTCAGCCAGTGTCATTAATACAGTGTCAGTATATAGAATCACTTTATCACTGTATTACTGCCACTAGCGACATCAGATAGCATCAGCGTCAGTTAGTGCCCCTCCCAGCCAGGGTCAGCTAGTGCTAGATTGCCCACACTATCGCACTCATGCTATAGGTCGCTGATCATCGCCATTACTTGTATAGTGTTTGTATAGATCAATATATTGATCACAAACGGAACTATACTAGTGCCTCTTTTGTATAGTGTCCCCAAAAATGCAGTGTCAACAGGATCAGCCCTGTTTGCTGACAGCACTAGCGTTTAGCCCCTCCACTGTTTTTCACAGCAGATTTGGTGATTGGTTTTTATGTAATCAAGTAAAAAAAAAAAATAAAAAAAAAATTAGAGTCTATATATGTGCCGCGGGTAACCCACACTGTGGCCAAACTGCAACAGGGCATTGTGCATCAAGCATACAAAATAAAAAGTACAGGACAACATTTAGAAACTAATGAAAACCTCATAGCAAACAAAAAAAATTATATATACAGTCATGGCCGAAATTGTTGGCACCCTTGATATTTTTTCCTGAAAATCAAGTATTTCACACAAAAAAGGTATTGCATTAACACATGTTTTGCTATACACATGTTTATTCCCTTTGTATGTATTGGAACAAATATAAAACAGAGGCAGAAAAGCAAATATGACATAATGTCACACAAAACCCCAAAAATGGGCTGGACAAAAGTATTGGCACCCTTAACTTAATATTTGGTTGCACACCCTTTGGAAAACATAACTGAAATCAGTCGCTTCCTATAACCATCAATAAGCTTCTGACACCTCTCACCCGGAATTTTGGACCACTCTTCCTTTGCAAACAGCTCCAGGTCTCTCTTATTGGAAGGACACCTTTTCCCAACAGCAATTTTAAGATCTCTCCACAGGTGTTCAATGGGATTTAGATCTGGGCTCATTGCTGGCCACTTCAGAACTCTCCAGCGCTTTCTTTGCCATCCATTTCTGAGTGCTTTTTGACGTATGTTTGGGGATCATTGTCCTGCTGGAAGACCCAGGATCTTGGACGCAAACCCAGCTTTCTGACACTGGGCCCTACAGTGCGACCCAAAATCCTTTGGTAATCCTCAGATTTCATGATGCCTTGCACACAGTCAAGGCACCCAGTGCCAGAGGCAGCAAAACAACCCCAAAACATCATTGAACCTCCACCATATTTTACCGTAGGTACTGTGTTTTGTTCTTTGTAGCCTCATTCCGTTTTCGGTAAACAGTAGAATGATGTGCTTTACCGAAAAGCTCTATCTTGGTCTCATCTGTCCACAAGACGTTTTCCCAGAAGGCTTTTGGCTTACTCAAGTACATTTTG